CCGCTTGTCTCGTCTCCTAGGCGTGGAGGAGCCCTGCTGAGGAAGACTAGGACTTTTGTGGGTGAACAAGACTGGGATGTTCCCTGTTGAGGTAATTCATTTTCCTCTCTTCTGCATGGATAGAAACTCCAGTTTTAGGGAACTTGACCACCCCAGGCCTGTATCCTGACCTGGGCAGCAGTGGTGCTCGGACGGTTCGTCCACACCTTAACTGGGGCGATGAATTACCCATCCTGCACTGCAGCTGTATCTGCAGCTTCCCGAGCTGCGCCTGGTGAGGCGAGCCAGGCGCCGGACTCCATCTTGGCTCCAGGGCGGGTGGGACGCGCAACTTTGGCCGGGAGTGCGGCGGTGGAGCCCTGAGCCAAAATGGTGGCCCCTGCACGGCAGTTTCTTTGCCCGGAGGCGTCGGTGATGAGTGCTTTAATTCGGTTCACTGACTTCTGTCGTGATGATAAACCCGCAGCGCACTGAGACCCTCTTCGCTGTGTGCGCCACAGCGCCCTCTGCTTGGTGGGAGGGGGGAGGTGAACCTTTTAATCTGGCAGGAAGTAGTTGCGTCCGTCTAGATTACTGGGTCTTGTGCGTACCCAGTGCCAGATTTTCGTGCCTCTTTTTCCACTATTAAGTGCCCAGACAAGCAGTTCAAGCTTCCGTTTGTCCAGACCTAGAACAGGAACTAGCTTATTTTGATGGCATGTTCAGGGTAACCTGTGCCCCCCCCCCCACAGTTTTTAAGCAGTGGTTCGGTCCAGGTGCCCCTTTCCTGGACCTCGGTGTTTTGCGGTGGACTCTACCATCTCCTGTTGGAGGAGGGGTGCCCTTCTAACTCTGTCCCCTTGTTTCTGCAGGGAGTGAAGACGTCGGGGGAGAAGCAGGAAGTCCAGGGATTGGACGAGCGCTTGAGTTTTGTGGATGCTGTCCATTCCGTCTGCTCCTTTTCTTTATTTTTGTAATTAAACGTTTGGAAACGGTCTCCTTCGAGTCCTGCTTGATTCCTGGGGTGGGATGGTGTGGGTAGTTTTGGTTCTGTCGGTAACCGAGTGGGTTCTCTTTCCTGGTCGGCTGTGCAGTGGGGCCACTGGTGCAGAATGATTGCTGTGCGTCTCTCAGGTGGGGCCACTGGTGCAGAATGATTGCTGTGCATCTCTCAGGTGGGCCTTACTGGTGCAGAATGATTGCTGTGGG